GCCCCTATACGCTCATCCTTGGGCCGCTACGCCTACGTCTCTTGCCGTTGTTAACACCATCACGTACTCATAAGTAGGTGCATGATGTATTGCCCCAGTCGCACCGCCCCACGTTGCAACTCGGTCCTTTCAAAACACCCTGTGAGCCTCTCCCGAGTCTCTACACCCGTTGTTGGCTTCCTTCTCCCGCTATTTTTCCCCATGTTATCGCTAGGGTCGTTTGGTTGCCACATGCCACGAGAGCACAGCTGCAATTACACGCCTCTGTCTTTCCCGGTATCGGCGCTGTGAGGATAATCAAGGGGCCAAATCTTGGAAGGAGTACACAGAAAAGAAAACTCTTTCTCTCTTCTCCTGAGCTGCCCTCGTGCACATCTTAACGTTCCTTTGCTTCTTCGTGGTATTCAAGAATTCATTTGGCGGCACTATTTCAACTGAATCACCCTTCATTGCCACGAGCTACCTGCACCGCAATCTCTGAGCTTCTGTATTTGACAAATAGGTAAACGCTGTTTTTCTTTTTCTTTTTTTTTTTTTTTTTTTTTTTTTTTTTTTTTTTTTTTTTTTTTTTTTTTTTTTTTCTGAGCATATTAAGTACACTTGAACGCATAAGCTACTGGCTCTCTCGGTTCAAAGTCGACTCTTATTAAAATTGACCATCATGTTAAACTTCAAATTAATATCATTACATACGGAAGGTTCCTCCTAAGAGTCGCTCTCTTGGCTTTGCCATCCAGCGCTGTTCCCATTATATACCCGTTGCACTATATGCATATATATATATCACGCGATGTGCTTCCATAACGAGGGGGTGAGATGATTGCTGGAAATCAGATGATCGAGAAAACATAGTATTGCTAGCTAGCGAGCACATCGAGAGAAAAACTATGGCACGTAGAGAGTGCACAAGTCGGAGAAAGATCCCCGCGATAGGGAATATAATAAATTATAGGCATTGTAAACATTGATGCAACATTCATCGAGAGAGAGAGAGAGAGAGAGAGAGAGGGTGGGAATAGGGGGGGGGGATAAAAAGAGGAGCAAAAAAGTCGGTCGAACTTGAGAATAGCGGCCAGAGCCTCCCGAGGATACAGGTATGCACACGTACATAATATACCTGTGTGAGCAAGTGTATAGAGACGACCTGCGCGGAAAGTCACCGGGAGCGTCAATCCTCTCTGTCCCAGGTGCCTTTCTAATCCCCACCGCTTCGGGAAAAATCAGATAGAATTGTCCGAGTCGTCGTCTTCGTCGGCGAACACAAGCTGCGATGGTCGTCGCTTCATGAACTCGCAACATCAAGGGAGAGAGAGCGAGAGAGAGAGGTGAAGTCAGGTGGGGGTTCCACGGGAGCACATTTGGCCGTAAAGTCCTGGTACGATTTTGCAATGGGGGAAAAGCACTCGCCTAGCTCACCTACATAATATATATATATATGCCTTGTAAGTATACCTACTTACAACAGACTGTCGTTATTGGACCCGCGACAACGTACACCGCGTGCATTAGCCTTTTTTTGATTGACTGCGAGTCTCGGAGCACTTGCGATCCTTTCTTCGGATAAATGATCCTGCCTCGCGATAAAAGAAGAGAGCCACAACAGATAAGCCGCACCGGGGACTCGGCCATCGCCGTTTCTCTCATTTTTCCATGGCTTTTGAATGATTTACGGCAACCTGCTAGCCGCGTGCATTAGCTCGGCTGGCCCGTCGCCTTGCGAAACGCGCTGCTTCGATAAATTAATTTCATCACATTTTTGTCTCTCCCCCTTTTCATTTTCCATCGCCTGATGCCTCTGTGCGCGATAATCATCATCATCATCATCATCATCATCATCATCATCATCATCGCGACGTATTCACTGGCATTTATGATCGTGCTCCACACCGATGCGAGCCTTAATTATGAAATTGGCGCGCCGCGGTGGCGATGGTTGGAACATTTTTCACTTGAATCCACGGAGAGCCAAGCCCAAGAGTTGTGCTTTCCAATGATGATAATGTCCCTGGAATCGTTTGAACGTATAGATTTTTTTTTTTAGATTGAACTTTAGTGAGGCCTTGTGGCTAAGCCATGTCTGGCCCTCCAGAAAAGTACATACGATAATATAAACAAAAATGATAGAAATACATGTTTAAATCTAGTTTTACAAATATATACACAGTAAGTAAATTAAATCGCAAGTATAAAGTATTGAAGTGTACAGTTTGAAAGAATAATAAGAAATGTAAGCGGATCAAAGTTTATATCGATATTTATGAGTCTTAATATGAGTAGTTACATATATAGGTTAGCAAATTGGCTATGAATTTACGTGGAATCAGTAGTATTGTTCAGGCTTAACAAATGATAAGCTTCAGTTACAAAAAAAGTAAATAAAAATAAGTCATTCAATTAAGTAAATAATAATAATGGATTGAAAAGTAATAATGCAATCAAGTATATGAGTGAGAGAAAGAGAGAAAAAGAGAGCGCCCGCGTGGTACCTAGACCACATGGTGTGCCTAGCGGTGACCCAAACAACGGCCTTTCCAACCGCCTCCCGATCGATCTTCTAGATTCAAAACATTAATTGGATCGTTTTTTTCGCTCTTCGTTTCTTACCGCATGAACATACCAAAGTACGTAGCCCCGACAAGTGGAGTGCGAAAGGGTGAGGGAAAAGTGGTGGGCCACTTCCTTTTGGCAAAAGGGCAATTTTTATTTTTACGGGCGCGGGACCCTCTCTCTTGTCCACATTTCGTTTCATTCCCCTACAATTTTTACAACTCTAAAATGTCGTCTGCGTACCTTCATCACAAGATAAGATCAAATGATATACAATGAGAGAGACAATATTTGTACTTTTATAGTTTTGCGCAGTAGTACTCACACATTCACATATTGCGTTTTCCCATAGATGTATGTTTAAAACAAAATAAATGGTCCTTGCAAAATACCTACTTCTTGACTAAGAGTTACATTTACTATCACTATTATTATTATTATTATTATTATTATTATTATTATTATTATTATTATTGCCTACTAAAGCATGCTACGCTCGTGTAATAATGTTTATCCATCGGAATTGTACGCGATGCCCAGCTTTGAGAAGAGACGAGACGATCTTCGATGAAAAAAAAAAAAAAAAATAGACATGGATGCGAGACCTTGCACAGTTTCGCCTGGAGATCTCAAAATATTTCTCGAGGCTTTTGAGACTCTTGTTATTGTGAAGAGGAATTCCAAGACCTTCAAGACTCTCGCGATCTTGAAGAAAGAGTTCGAGACTTTCGAGGCCTCGGGACGAAACTACCGCAAGACAAAACTTGAGATGAGACGTCTTGTGAAATTTCGTAGTATGCTGTATGCTGATTGTCAAAAAATCATTTCAACCCATACCCGTCTTTTTCTTCTTCACTCATGTTCGGATACTAGCCATCATTTTTTTTTCGCTGTTTTTCTTTTTCTTTTTTTTTTTTTTTTTTTTTTTTTTTTTTTTTTTCTGAGCATATTAAGTACACTTGAACGCATAAGCTACTGGCTCTCTCGGTTCAAAGTCGACTCTTATTAAAATTGACCATCATGTTAAACTTCAAATTAATATCATTACATACGGAAGGTTCCTCCTAANGGATACTAGCCATCATTTTTTTTTTTTTTTTTTTTTTTTAATATTAGCCACATTGTTTCAAACATTGTAGTTCTATCAGTCATATTCACGCACGTACATATTTTTTATCGCAAAGTTGGCATAATAATTTGCCAAACCTAAAAGTTATCATACAGCCGGGCAGTGCATCAAACAGCACGTGTGTTCCTATGGTAAAACAGCCCTTCTAATCCACAATTCGCTAATGTTAGTAAAAGTATCAAGTTGACTATTTTTTAATACTACTGTTGAAACAAGTGGAATTCATTTATTCGTTGGATTCAACAGTATAACAATGGACAGATTAATATTCGGATAACGTGTCTTTACTTCATTCAAAAACGTTTACTTCAAATTAATTGTCTACCTTATTCAGATGTGATAAAAAGCGCACCTTGTCGTTCCATGGAAAAAATCAAATGAGTTTTATACGTCAATCGACTCACAAGCCCACCTTACGTTTAATTGCGTAATCAGAAACTACGTAATACCATTTAATTTTCAACAAGTTAATGATTGCCGATGAATATGAGGATAGTTTTAATCAATACTTAAAAAAAAAAAAAAAAAAAAAAGAAAAGAATTTTAGATTCGTAAATTACTGTGGCAACTAATAGGTAATATTATTTATCCCTACCATAAATTTTGTAACCATAATTTGACCATACTCAATCTTGGCAAAAGTTTGTTGTTAATGATAACACTTCGACTAAAATTTAATTACTCCAACTTTTTCAACAATACTTTTAGTCGAATGTGTCGGGAGTTTTTTTATAGAATTTTAAATTTTAATTGACCATCATTTTTCTCTGACCCCAACCATTCCTGTGTTTCATAGTGATATTTTGATTCAAAATTTTTATAAAGTGCAGAGATTTGACACCGTATTCTTTTTTTTTCTTTTTTTTTCATTGAAACTTTAGTAATAAGAAAATGCGCAAGTCAAAATTAGACATAAAGCGCGGAGCCATGCATCTGATTCTACCCAAGCTCATAATGTGTCGTTCCCACGCCACTTGACTTTTAGGAGAAATTATATAAAAATTATACATGTATACTCACGGGAACAAGAAATTATTGTTGCATCTATGTGTTTACCTGCACAAGATGTGAAAAAAATTTATGAAGCAGTATAGCTCGTTTGTTAAACTTTCTTCACCGTGGTAGATGAGAATATTTGCTTCTCAGGACATTAGCCAATCAGGCTAATTTGCATCCCGCAACATCTGAAATTTAAGTTTCGGTTCCGAGGACCCTTGGCTTTCCTTGTTCCCTCACTTTTCTCATAAAACTTGATAAGACCATATTTTTGCAACAGCTTAACGTATCCCCTCGTTCAATGCTCCTCTGTTTCTCTCTGTTGCAGTCCTTCTTCGGCAGAACGTACAACAACCTGGGCAGCATATCCGAGTGCAAGAACGGGGGCAACTGCGTGATCAACAAAAAAAATCGGACAGCGTGCAAGGCCTGCAGGCTGCGAAAGTGCCTCCTCGTGGGAATGTCAAAGTCCGGCTCGCGCTACGGCCGGCGCTCCAACTGGTTCAAGATCCACTGCCTCCTGCAGGAGCAGACCAACAACAACAACAACATCAACAACAACAACAGCAGCAGCCAGAGCCCGGGCGGCCTCCCCGGCTCTCACTTTGGCGCGAGCTTCCTGCCGGGCTTTCTCCCCGGGCTCCAGGCCCAGCAAGCGGGTCTCCTGGGCGGCTACGCGGCTGTCCCATCCGGCAAGGACACCCGCGACCAGGGCTCGCCCAGCCAGGAGGACTTTGCCCTCCAATCGCACCTTCTGCACGTCGCCATGCTCAAACAGCAGAAGCACCACCATCACCACCAGCAGCAACACCATCACCATCAGCAACAGCAACAGCCTCAGCAGCAGCAGCAGCAGCAGCAGCAGCAGCAGCAGCAGCAAGGTCGCAAGTCACCGCCTCGGCCGCAGATGGAACTGGGGCCCGGAGGCATGGGTTCCCTGCACCAGAGTCCTCTGAAGCTGCTGGGCTGGCAGACCGGCTCCAAGTCGTCGGGCGACGAGCTCGACGGACCCCCGTCTCAGCCACAGCAGTCCCAGCCACCGTCGCAGCAGCACCGGTCCAGCCCGACCCGCGGGACCCCCACGCCCCCTGGGCTGCCCTACCGGGAGCTGGTCAGCTCGGCGCAGCAGCTCTTCTCCGGTGCAGCCTCGGGCTCGCTCGAGGTCTTCCGGCCGTTCATGCCGCTGTACAAGCGCGCCGCGACCACGCCCAGCGACAGCGGGGCCTCGAGCGTCGAGACCGACGAGCACGACGAGTCGCGCAGCAATTCGGCGTTCAGCTACTTCCGCACCACGACGAGCGCCAGTAGCGGCCCCGCCGGCATAAACAGCGCGCGCGGTACCGTGCCGGCCGCGGCGAGTCGGCTGCACCGGTCGGAGGCGGATTTCCCGAGGCGGAAGGTCAACGCCACGGTGACCTTCGCCACGGATTACCTGGCCCACCACCACCACCTCCACCACAACCACGGCCACGGCCTGATGTACCCGCCCTCGGAGCTGGTGACGCCGGGGACGGCCCAGGCGCTCCGGGGTGGCGACCTGTTGCTGGCTAGCCCTAGCCCGGGGGGCTTGGCGATCGAGCAGCTCGAGCCGATCGACCTGAGCCTCAAGTCGGCCCACGAGAGGCAGCAGCAGCAGCGGGCGGAGGGGGCAGTGGGTGACAATTCGGACTCGGAGAGCGAGAGCGCGAGCGGTCCCAGCAAGCCGGCGAGCCCCGAGGCGGCTCCCAAGAGCAACCCCTTGGATCTGAGCGTGGACGTAAAAAGGCCCACGGCCGAGGTCTCGCTCTAACCGGGCGTTGCCCCTTCATCCCGACCCGCGAATCCACACAGTGCCTTTGCCAAGCGACAGAGTGCCTTTCTTCGGTGTGCCTTTCCTCAAGCGAGGACGTGCGCTTTGCGACCTAGGCTTATCATGATTATCTTTATCATTGCTATCGCTACTTTTTTTTTCCTTTTTTTTTTCTTTTTTTTTTTTTTTTTTTTTTTTTTTTTTTTTTTTTTTTCTATCGCATAGTAGAGCAGCGAATGCCAGCGATCGGCTAGTGTACATACGACTATATTATGTGTCAAAAATTAATAGAAGCAGCGGACGCCTTGGATTTTTCATTGTCAGCGAGCAACGACTCCGACTTTAGATCGTTCCCGAGATCGTTCTTTTTCTGTGTTTAGCGTTTTGCTCGATGGACAAGTGTGCAACTACTTCGGGTCTAAACACGATTGGCTTATTTTGCTTTTGAAACAATTCAACCAAAAAAGAATTGCAACAACCAACAATTAATACTTGTGTGTGGCACGATTGACGCGCTTATCACTACAGCCAAAAGTATAATTACGTAGTACATGAAAAAAGTTATGTTTTTTCAACATCTCCGAATTTTTTATCCAACTGCAATATTACTCTTTTTGTTGTCTTCCAACAGTTTGTTGTTAAATTTTAATTCAATTTAGAGCGGCGAGAAACCGCGTTTTTGCAATTAAGTAAATGTTTGTATTACATAGCAACTATATTTTCAGAAAGTAAAAAATACTGGCTGGCGTTTTCACGTTCATGAATTCTTACTGACATAAATGGGAAGCAAATTTTTTTTAAATTTTCAGTAACTCGTTCAAGGTGAAGCGTTTACTCGAGTTTCTCTCATTATCAGGTACCCATCTCTAAATCTTTTCCGACACGTATTCATGTAAAACGTTGATTTGTAAAGGTACAAGGAAAAACCGCTTTTTTCCTTCAGACCTCGGTGCTAAACAGGTGCGAATTTTCAAATATAAAGTTCAATTTGAAAAATGTAACGTGTTATGGTACAGATTAAGATATCTACCGAATTTGAGCTTAATCGTGTTAAAATCATCAAACTGTTGGTCGAACAACGTGACTACCTAAATGGACACAGAGTGAATTGCTTACATGATGTAAACCACTCGGAGTACTCGCGTTTCAGGGTCAAAAAGTTTTTCACGCAAAAATGTATGATTTCCAAGTGGTTATACTTTCTACTTTAGTAAAAACATAAGGTACTCTTCTGCGGAGCAGTCGTGCCTGAAACACCAAGATAACGTGAGAAAAAAATTTTAACGTCTCGTTTTAGAGATATGCGCTCCTACATTGTGCCGAGGTGCGGCTGTTATTGTACAACGTTTGCTTCCCTGTTGTGTTTCTTGTTGCGCCTGTCACGTTGGACCTTGTATCATCACAACTGTGTTACGCTTAGAACAATCAAATAGCTACTTCCTTTGGATTTGGCCCCGCGAACAACCTTAGTTGGGAGAAAAAGTTTCAGCAGGTGACAGCTGCTCGATCAAATTACAAAAAAACATGCGAATAGCCAATCACGAGAAAACATATCGAGATCTGCGCGCAAAGTACCACGGCAAGATTCTTAGTTTAGTTAGGAAAATGCGATTAAGTACTTAATTTGTTTCCACGTAAGCTTTCAGACGGAGGCGGGCTGGTCCCGACTGATGTGTAATGTCAGAGTTTTTGAATCTTCGAGTGGAATACATGGAAATTAAAGACATTGTAATTGTATGAGTATGTGCATAATTGGTCGGAGAATAGTTCAATACTGTGTAGTAGCGCGCGCGCGCGTGGCCTGTCTTTTTCTGAAGTGCGCGTAGAAACCAATTGTATTTATTACATTGAAATGTGTTCAAAAGCGCTTTTCGAAGCATTCCGAGTTTGCATGATTTTTTTTCTTTTTTTTTTAATAATAATAATAAAGTTCGTTTCAACAACTCGATCAGTACTTAATACGCTCCAAGTACTCATTATGATACAATGTCCTTTCTTCGCTTACCTACTTTTTTTCGATATCTTAGATAGACGCAATTTTGATCTTAAATTATACGCTATTGTAATATAATTATTGGTCTGTGTACAGAGCGGACAATAATTGAAATAAACGCTCTGTACATACATACGTTAGCATGAATATTTATACATAAATTAATATGCGCGCGACCAAATATATTATGTACGTATCAGACGTCAGCGTATACATTTTATATATAACACGTACTTAAGGAGCAAAACGAAAGGCAAAAGCTACGAAGAGTCATAAAAATATTTTAATAATGTACGATATATTGAATATTTTATATATTATTTAATGAGCAAATGTACAGGATCGATTTCTCTTATATACTCGTGCGTGACGGTTTGTTCGATGCAAACATTAAATTGTGATCCTTAGTAAATCAAAAGGCCAGTAAAATGCAAGTTACGATATACATTATTAAATATATCATATATATATATATATATATATATATACACAAATATATATACACAAATAGATGGTGTATTTATTTGAAAATGTGACATTCTCGTGAGAAATAATTGCCTTTGGTGCGATTGTGTGCTTTATATATTTGTTACGAAAAAAGAGAGAGAGAGCGCTGTTGGTAATGTAATTATAGAACAATCGAAATGTCTTTTATTCACTCTTATACTGTGTAAATAGTAATTTAAGCGAAACCGTAAAAATACGGCCAGTACTTAATCTTATTTTGATGAAATAAATATTTTTGTTTAATTTAACATCAACGACCATTCTTGCACCTCTCCGTTTCCTTGAGACATCCATAACAACAATGAGGTAAAATCTATTTTGAATATCCTTCGAGTCGATATACCTGGTTGAACAACAACTTTGCTTCATTTTCAAGTAGTAAGACAGCTGCTGTTACGGCAGTAATTTTCCTCGAAAGATTGAATCTCACATCGCTCGAGCCTCACTACTTGTCGCGGTGTTCATTAAAATCGATCACATGGTCATTGATCAATAATGTTTTTACATTAAGATGAACGAAAATTTAAAATACGATCGATACGACTCGCATGGCGATGAAATTAAATTTGTTTGCTTGAGTAACTACAAATTTATGTGTTACATACAATTAAAATGAAAAGTACTGGCACTTTAACGTAGATCCAATAAAGAAGAAATCACAGGTACATAAAATGATGCAGTCGAAATTTTTTATTAATTAAATGATATTTTGAGCCACACCAAATAATTAACTCTAGATTTAATTAGGCTTTAATAATACATTATGATTTTTCACTATTTAAGGTACGACATCAATTAAAATACATACTTCTTACCGCTTGTGAGTTATTTTATTATGTACATTAGAATAAGTCCATAATGACTAAGCATTTAAATAAGTTTTGTTATTTAACGAGTGTTTTTGGTAAACAGTTGAGAAATAATAGAAGGACACTCATTCAATAAAGTGCAGGTCAATCAGTTCACATAAAGTCATTACAAAAATGGGCTCGTTGGATCGTGTCTTTACTTCAAAATGTTTTGTAAAAAATAATTAAATAAATGGTTTATGTTATGGATTCTGCTAACATTATCGGGGTTAGCATATACATATTTATAAGATTTCTTAAAAAATTTTTTAATTTATTTCTCTCAGCCACCGAAACGATAATTTTATTATAATCATAATAATACGATGTTTTTCTTTACATGTTTAGCCAGTGCTACATGTGGACTTATTTATCTTTGTTTTAGAATATTCAACATTTAGTTGACATGGAATTTTTATTTTGTTCATCGTTCTACTTTTTCTATTATTATTTACCTTTTCTTCATTTTTTCTAAGGTTTTTTTTTTTTTTTAATTATTTGTAAGATTTTCTAGATGATTTTAAGTATTTCCATATTTCCAAAGTACCATTGTACAACCGTAAATTTTAAACTAAAATTGAAACTTTAGCTACAAATTAAACATAAGTAATTGAAACAATTTTTGTATCATGTTTAAACTTCCCTTCATTTGTTCATTCCTTAACTCACAAGTGATTCTTCTTAATTTCATGAGATTGTAAAAAATTAGTAAATATTTTATTGTTTCTTTGGGAGTTAATAGTTAATGGGTGAGTCAAACGCAATGGCTGGTGATTAAATAGTGGTTTGGCCCCGACTTCTCTGACTAAAGACCCTTTGCTAGTTACTTTTTTTTAGTTACATAAATGTTACAGAATATGCTATCAAACCAACACTATTTTTTCCATCACACTTTATCCAGGCTTGGGACTGGCAGCGTATACAAATATGTGTGTATATGCACTGTCGGGCTTAAAAATGTGCTAGTGTTTATTAAATATATATATACTGGAATATTTGTTTTTGCAGATAGAACTCTTGTAATCGTTTAAAAGTTTTCAACGCTCTACATTGTCACTAACACTTTTTCAGTAACATAAAACTCCATCGTTATATTAAAATGAAAATTCGGCAGCAAAAGAAGTGTAGAAGGTTCAAGGCAACGTTGATGACTAACAGCAAAACAGATTATAATTGCCAACCAAGTCACTGTTTCATACATGTAGCATACATATTTTAAGCTCTTCGTAAGTATGTAATATGGATCATTAGTCATATTTGTCGGGACCAAACTCGCCACCAAGAATGAATGGCCAGGACCAAACTCGGCAACTTTTCTCGGTTTGGGGCCAAACTTGCCATCAGCCCTAAACTTAAATGTAAAATCAGACTCAATACTAATATTCATGAATTTCTGGTATCGGTCAACCGTATTTCTCTAAATTTCGATAGCAAAATGTTAGAGGTTTTAATCTAATTCTTATTGTTCAGTCTTTAATCGGTAAAAACTCCTTTGATTGTCAAAATAATTAACAAAATACCACCATTATTCTGGTGCCTCGTAGTACATTGTAATATGGTTTATGAAAAATAATAATATCTCTTTAACAGGAGAGTGAAGAACATTTCTCACTTACTTCGTTGCGGAAAAAACTTATTGCTGTTCCTCTGGACATTTTCTT